GCGGGCCTTTGCCAGGCGGCTCCGGGCCCCCTCCTGTCCCCGTTTGCCTCCGCCGGCGGCAGCCGGTTGTTCGGTTTCGGCCGGGGTCTGGGTCGCGGCGCGGGTCTGAAGCGCTGCCTTCGGCTTCTCCGTGGTGAAATGCTCGGGATGGGAAGCACACGGGGCTGGGCCTGTTCGGAGGGGGGTTCGGTACCGGCCCCGTCCCGCAGGGCGCGAGGCTTCGGGGTACGAAACGGGGAACGTTGAGGAAAATACATTTCCTATCAACTTAAGCACTTCTCATTTGAATTTAATACTGTGCGTGTAATTAAGGGAAAAAAATAACTAAGGGGGAAAAAAAAAAGGTGACTTGTTTTATTTTTTTGTTGCGTTAAATTCTCCTGAATGGGGAATGCTTTGTCTGCAGGTTTAATGATGCTGGTTTAAATGTTGGAAAATCCTCTTCTGAACCTGTGCTGACTGTGGTGTTTACTCATTCGGTATCTTTTTGCAATAGGAGTTATGGCTTTTTTTTTTTTTTTTTCTTCCCAAAGATGAACACTCTAAATAATTCCCACCCCTGGCTCTAGCTGAATTAGGTCATACATAGTCTGAACTCGCTCACTTTCAGATCTGGAGATCTTCCTTGGTTAGTGTGGGAGTTTTAAAGCTCTACTCTAAATTCTGCCTAGATACACATGTTAGAAACCTCATGCTGCAGCAGCAGCCCTTTCTGTTATTTTTTTGTTTGGTTTTTTTTGTGTCTTTTCATCTTTCCTGTGATGTATATATTCAGCTATTTATATTGTAAAACTACATGTGAATTACATTCAAATGATGCAGCCTGAAAGCTTTACTTAACTTGATACAGAGTTGTAAGTAAACAGGATGAAGGAACTAGATTGCAACAAAGGATTTATTTTTTATTTTTTATTTTTTATTTTTTTTTTTAGAAAAAAGCATTAGCTTTCATCTGGTTCCCTGATCCTGTTCTCTATGGGCACTCAAGCACTTTGTTTGCCACGAGGGAAGGTGTGTGGGAGAGCAGTGGGTGATCTCTTGGTAGTGGTGGTGTACGAGAGACAGGCAGCAGGAGTGCCCCTTTGGTGACAGTGATGCTGGCCGTGTAAGAGTGCGGTGTTAGCTGGAGTTCAAAAGGTAACAGCCACATTTAGGCAAGGCTCCGCAGCTTTAAATGATGTTTCTATCTTCAGTTCCAGTGAAGGTCAAAGGACTAGTGGTCTTGATCATCATCTGCTTTCAAGCTCCTCCCGAGCCACTTCCAGCAGAGGACAGCATGTTTCAGTTTGCTTTCCTGCTTTGGTTATCAATATTTTTTTTTTTGTAGCTGAGTTTTGCTTGAGAGAATTAGTCATGTTTTGTGCTTTACTGGCTCTAGCTGCTGACACCTTATTTGGGGTTGTCTTGCTTTTCTTATTTCTTCCCAGCTGCACAAGGACTGCCACTGCTTCTCCCAGCTCTTGTTTGCACTTCTGCATTTGGCAAGACCGGATCGGTAGTCGAATCCATGTGGCCCTGGGTTGAGCCAGCCGGGTATCTCTGCAGGGTGCTTGCCAGGAGAGGGCTGTGCAGGCCCACCCTGACTGACCTTACCTGGACCCAGCAAGGTCTGTTAGCCTTCCTTTACCTTCCCAGAAAGGGCATCTCTGCAGCTGGGCACCACTGCTTTAAAATGTATGTGTATGGGGATAAAGCTGAAGTCCCTGTGTAAGTCAGATTTCTGGATTTCTTTGGGTTTGTTGTAATTAAGGACTCTCCATCTTGGTGTGGTTCAAGCGGGTCACTTTTCCTCTGTAATATCCTTCCAATAACCCCTTTAAGGTTGTGTTTTTATTATTACTTCCATATGATGTTACAAAGCCTTTGTGCTGGAAGTAATTTCTTAGTGAAGGTTAATAAATTCTCGTAATAACTATCTAGAAGCTGGAAGCTCAGATGAGGCACCTGTGAATGAGGTATGAGGGGAAAAAGGGGAGGTAATTGACATTTGTTCTTTCGTAAATTCACTGTGTTTCAGGCATAAGGAAGGAATATCTAGTTCTCAAAGCAAATGAGCTAACGTAAGTTTCTTAGGCAATCTATTCAGATAGTTTGCTGTTCTTGCCATTGAACATACTTCTCCTAATTTATAATCTAAATTTATTTGCTATAATTTAAGCATTTAAGAATTGTAACATGCATTTTATGCACCTTGTGAACTCTTTATTACACCTCTTCTGCAGGAATGAGTCACATGTTTGGGGGGCTCTCTCTTTGATGTCTTCCACACTTGAGAAATTCCATTCCTTCAGTCTCCTCTCTTTGGTGATTTCTTTTTTTTTTTTTTTTTTTTTTTTTTTTTTTTAAAATGTCTGTGGTTTTTTTCCTCTG